ATGTACTGTCTGTCTTAGTCAATTGTATATGCATTAAATGTTTGCCATATATGTACCTGTAATCTGCTTTGAGTCCTCTCGGGGAGATAGAGTGGAAAATAGATAAAGTACATTATTATTATTATTATTATTATTATTATTATTATTATTATTATTATTATTGAATCCCTGCTCATTTATGAAATCCCACTGAGCTGTCCTGGGCAAATCATACACTCTCAGCCTCTGAAAACTCTATGATAAATTTGCCTTAGAATCATCATATGTTGGAAATGACTTGAAGGCATACAATAAGACATGCAAGAACAACAAGCACTTAAGGTGTACTTCTAACCGATAAGTATTAACTCTCAAACCTGGCCAACGTAAACTGGAATTAAGATTTAAATCCTTCAAAAAGATCCAAACATAATGCTCTAGGATTCTTCCCTCCTGCTTATTAAAGACATTTTGTGAAATTTATAATTAAAATCTTCGAAAGACTTCTCGTCCTTTGCCAGCAACAGTGTTATATCAATTAAATGGGTAAGTAGAAGCTTTCTCCAGAGGGAGCAGCATGTGACCCTCTATTGATTAAGACTGCCATGGAATGTTATTTGCAATCTCATTGCATAATGAAAATCAGGAAGTTGCTGTCATGCTTTCAGAAGACAAATTACTGCTCTCTGAGACAATTCATAGGTGTCTTTCCATCTCACTCTTCTCCAGTCACAGCTAATGCGTGTTCTACAGCGATTGGTTTCTTAAATCAGACTCCTTTGCTGCCTTCAGGACTAAAAATTAGGGAGAGCTGTAATCCAGCTGACCCAGGATTACAGTGGAGGTTATGTGACCATAACAGCTACCGCTGCTTCTGATATATGGTTGTTTTAATAAGATACTGTAGACTTTAGAGAAAGGGACAGGTAATTAAAGGTAGATACCTACAAAAAGTGATGTGACATTTACTTGAAAAGAGAATAGTAATCAAGAGTGACTCAGAACAGAGTGTTTCATTTATTTGTTTAAAACAACTATTCAGATCTTGTGGGTACTACAACTTTACATATGTGAAGGACTCATTTCTTGTCTCTACCCAGAGCCAATTAACTCCGTGGATTGTGCTTTATTTTGAGCCATTTACAAGGGGGAGCTTTTTGCAAAATCCTATATAATATATGTTGAAAATAGAGCTCAGCTATACTTAAGCTATGGCTTTTGTTGGATGACCACTGTGTTTTCATGCACATCTACCACACTGTGGTGTTGTGCACTCTGGTAGGCTTATGCATTTCGGGTGAATTGCTATCCATTTCTACCTGCTGGACACTGGAAGCCCCCATATCCATTTTCGCATGCCTCCCAAAAACGGGTGCACTGCCAATGGGTGTTTTCATTCTGCATCTGAAAAGAGCGTCTCTCTTTGGCCCATTGGCAGCAGTGGGGAACATCCCCTGGGAGCCTTTCCTTTCTTCCCTTCAAGGGAGCCTGGGTGTCAGCACTAGGGTTAAGAGAGCACCCTATCCAGGACATTTGGGAGAGGGGATGACTTCCCATAGGATCCCCTTCCATATCCTTCATTAAGATCTGGGTTTTAAAATGAATCAGAGTTAAGATACCACTCTTTCTGGATCCTTTTCCCTTCTGTTTGTAGAGGAGGAGACTGGGTTTAATGCTTCTTAAAACTCTTTCTACTCTAGAGGAGGGGCAGGCATGCACACTTTCTCTCCCAACACCAGCAGCATGCCACACAGCTTTCCAAGGCATTTTAAGGAGGCCCAGGAAAGTAAGAGTGATGACATGGAGGTCCGAGCAGTTATTCTTCCTGGACTACCTTAAAAATCCCCTTTCTTGCCTGCAATCTCCTTATGGCTTGGGGGTTTGCTTCCTTAAAGCTGTTTCTACTTTCTACTCTAGAGGAGAGATAGGCTTCTCTTTTTGTTTGCTGGGATTATTATTACTGATCATTATTATTATCTTTTAAAATTATTTGCTGAAAAAGAGGAGGGGGGAGGAGAAAAAGGAGCTAAGAGGGCGACTCTCCAAGCCCTCAACTACACACATGTGCACCCCACCCACTTTCCGTCAAGTTCTCAACTCCCAGTCAGTCCCACTAAATAACAAGAATCAGGAAAATAAAGGAAAATCAAAAAGATTAAATTGTGATGCCGAATAGGGGAGGAGGAAGAGCTGTGATCCGCTGCCACATGGTCCTTTTTTGGATGGGAATCCATGATGGCTGGACCCTTGCCATTATGGATACGGGATCAAACCGAAGAAGCTGGATTGGCTGAAGGGAATGGCTAAAAATGGATCCAGCCTCAAGCCTACACTCTGGTTCCTCAGAAAATAGAACTAAAGATACCTAAATTAAGGTACAAGATGGAGGATTTCAGCTGAACATAAAGACAAACTTCTCAGTGGTGAGAGTAGTACATATTGCATCTGGTGGGTTTCTCTTCAGTGGATGCTCTTGATGTTATAAAGTGAGAAAGAAATTCTACTAAGTGGTCAACATGGCCTCTTCCCTCTGTGTGACTTTAAAATGTTCTACTCCATTTGTGGGCCTGTGTCCCATTGAAATTGAGCAAAGTTTCATTTCCCAGTTTATTTCATCCTCGTGAAAAACAAGCAATTAACAAGAACCAGGATATAGTAAGGTCAATCAGAGACAAGCTCCTTGGCACATAGTGAACTTTGCATTCAATATACCATTGTCTATTTACCATCAAGGAGAATTTTAGAAATCAAATGCAGGATGCATAATCGGCTTTAGCTGAGTTTATTGATTAGGACTCCATCATCTGTCCACAATGCTTGACAAGTTTAATCATGACAGGTTTACCTTTCCACTGTTGATGCTCTAGGACTTAATAAAGTATTTAACAAAGGCCATGAATAATATGTCAACACAATTGTTGTTCTGAAATGATCTGCTGAGATTTGTCTGGGGAAAAAATTATAACCTTGCAGAAATTAAAGAAGAGACTAAGTTTCTCAACGAAGCAATGACACTTCATTATATTTAATTCAGTTGGACACACAGATCAATATGTGTAGCATTCCAAGCACATATAGCTATTTAAAGAACCTCCCTGGCCCTCGTACAAGCAGATTTGTGCGTAACGCTTGCATCTGATTGTTCGGTAATTGTGTTATCAGATAAAGCCAGTCTAGTAGAATGTACAATTAAATTCAGAAAGCCGCATCAGTGAATACACTTAAGTATTGGTCAATGCAGATGCTTCAGATAAATGATTCATTAAGTTCTTATGCTCAAAGTTCTGCAGGCAAGCATCTGCAGTAGCAATTGGAAAGTTTAAGTCTAAATGATTTCCATTCTGGGGAGTGATTCTAATACATTTCTAGAGATACATGAACAGACTATCATAATCACAACTATAGAGACATCTAATGTAGCACAATCAGGCCTGTTCCTACTAATTTTGAGTTGCTGTTCCTGGTTACAAAAAAGTTAAATGAATAGAAGGTGATGTGTCCTACATCCAGAATTGACACTGCCAGTAAACTGGAGGAGCATCTACACTATAGAATTAATGCCATTTGATACCACTTTAACTGCCATAGCTGAATGCTGTAGGATCCTAAAAGCTGAAGTTGTGTAAGACCTTTAGCCTTCTATGCCAAAGAGATCTGGCACCTCACCAAACTACAACTCCCAGGATTCTATAGTTTTTGATGCATGGCAGTTAAAATAGTGTCTAATTGCATTAATTCTATGGTGTAGATCAGCACTTCCCAACCTGTGGTCCATGGACCACCAGTGGTCCCCAAGAACTAAAATATGGTCTGTGAACTCAGCGTTACTACACCATTGCAATGAGAGCTACTGGTAACACAAAAAGCCTCTTGTAGTGCTAAGGCCACAGGGATGTCAGGAAGGGAGAGGCTGACTACCCACGAAAGGTGTAACAACAAGCCTCCTGACTGCTGCTTCTTCTCCTCCCTCCTTCCCTTCCTCTAAGTGGAGCCATTCCATGTGGTGCCTGGAAGCTGGGGCACCTCGGTGTCTTTGTTTTTAGGCCTGTTCCTGGGGTTATCTGGGGTGCTGATTCAGAAAATTGCATTGGATAAACCACATCAGCTCTAGATTATTAAATATGGTTTTTATGGGTGAGCAGATGATGACTAGTGGATGGCATATGTTCTGTATCAGAAACTAGAGCTGATGTGGTTTATCCAATGCAATTTTCTGAATCAGCACCCCAAATAACCAAACTGAATCTAACGTTGACCAAAAACTGATTTGTAGCCCTTTTGGTACTAATGTTGGAGTGGTCCCTGGTCAAAATAAAGGTGGGGAAGCACTAGTGTAGATGCACCTTGGGTGAAATGAGCAAAGAGCCAAAGTAGAAAAATCACCAGTCCATCTGCATTGACATTCACCTGACTCATCCAGCTCACCCAGAGACCTTTCCGTTATGTCCACCCTTGCCACTATCTTAGGGCCAGGAATATCTATGCCTCTTTCCACAAGGAAAGCAGAGGCAATGATATCCCAAGGGGAGGAGAATACAACAGCAACAGGTCTCTGTTTCTATTGCCTAAATGATTTTTTCTAATATTTGAACCAAAGTTTTATACAATGAAGTTTCAATTTTAATACATTATATCCAGTGCAATTGAGAATACTTTGCAGAAAACATGCTTTCAGTCAACATTCTTCTTCTAAATATTTTTTTTAATTGAAAGTCAAATCTTTGAATCTGTCCTGTGGAGATACCACACCCACAGCTAAATTACTTAGTATTTCATTTTGCCATGTGTCACACATTCAAGGGAGAGTAAAAGCTCACTTACCTTGAAAAGCCTTAAAATATTAGCCACCATGATGGACACAGAACTTGCAGCTGCTCCTATCACCCCTGTTATCTTGTCTGGTTTAGTGAAAATAGGCGGGTCTCCATTAGCACATTTCACATCAGATCCATCTTTCTCTATCAAAGCTTGCACAAATGTCAAGGACTGCTCCAAAGCATACGTGTCCCTGGAACAAGTGTCTAGAATCCGGACACCCAAGGAGACATTGGCAAGAAGATCTGGGTCCTTATTGATTTGATCAATTGAATATAGCATTGCCTCAAGCCGGTGGATCCCTTTTTCCTTCTTGAGTTCCCCACAAGGTACTCCTCTCTCCCCCTTTGCATGGACAGGGAACAGTCCTCCCAAAATGATATCTCCATCGAGTCGAATGGAGTGGGCATATTCCTGGCCATGAGTTCCTCGCATCATCGGGAGTATCCACCAGAATTTGGCGGCGAACAGGAAGAAACAGTGGCAGGAAACCAGATGCTTGTCTTCGTAGACCATTTTTCCTAAAGGCAGTGTTGCTTTCCAAGGCCCAGATCTTCTTGTTAGAGGAGGAAGTGGACAATTTGAAGCTTCCCCTTCTGAAGGCTACCATCAGTGCCCAGTGACTCGGAATATAGAACCATGCAGTAGATAGAAAAGAAGGATGGTAGTGGTGATAGTGCTGATTAAGTAGAACTTTTACAGAGGTCTCTCACAAAAAGAATCCATTTGGATATGCATTATCATGTATTACCTTGCTTATTCTGAGTTTTCCGTGACTGAAGACTGACATTAGTATAAGCACACCCAAAGCTGAGAAGAGGTCACCAATTCACATTCTTGGGTTGCATCTTGCAATTGAGATACTCCTGAAATATCATGGAGCAAGAGAAAAAAATTAGTCATGCTGTCATATTTTCAATTAAGCTGTTTTTATTTTTCAGATCCCCCCCCCCCCGAGCTTTTGCCCTTTATTTTCTCTGTGGATTATTCAGTCATAACTTTCCATATTATATGCACATATGATTTCCCTTTGACAGAAATGTTAAGGCAGCTAAGATTTCACCTGGCTAGAACCCCTTACTTCCAGTTTAGAAGTGACATGATGAGTCAAACATTTACCTGACTAGGGATAATATCAAGTTGATGATGCCCCTCTAGCCCAGGGGACATGAGATGAAATCTGTCATTTCAGAGGCTAGCAAAGCCAAGGAAAGAGAATGCTCAACACAGTCATACCACACATTCTATTCAATCCTTTTTCCCACTTCTACATGATACTCAGAATCACCCTAGGCAGGCCCGTAGCCAGGATTTCGTTTCGGGGGGGGGGGCTGATTTTTTTTTCAGGGGGGGTTTGGGGGGGTGAGTTTCGGGGGGGCTGAGTCTGAGTGAAAGAGGGTCTAGCCTAGCAAACCTTTTGTATCATTACCCCAATACCCCCATGCATATGGGACTAAACGGTTCCAGCCCAAAATACCTTGCTGACCGCATCTCGGCCTATGAGCCCACGAGGACCTTGAGATCATCTGGGGAGGCCCTTCTCTCGGTCCCGCCTGCCTTACAGGCACGTCTGGTGGGGACGAGGGAGCGGGCCTTCTCGGTGGTGCCCCCCCGGCTTTGGAACTCCCTCCCTGCTGAACTTAGACAGGCGCCCTCCCTTATGGCCTTTCGTAAGGGCCTGAAAACATGGCTTTTCGAATTGGCCTTCAACTGAGTGCTATGTTATTGGAAATGACGACCGGAATGGACTATGACTATGAGATTGATTATGACCCCAGGATATGACGAAGCGGATTTTTAGTATAAGTAGTTGTCATGTAGTAGTAGATTGTGTTATTGTCTTGATTTATTGTAAACTGTCTTTCTATGTTGTTGTACACCGCCACGAGTCGCCCTAGGGCTGAGAGTGGCGGTTAATAAGTGCAAGAAATAAATAAATAAATAAATTACCCCAATACCCCCATGCATATGGGATATATTGAGTATGGTGATCAGATCATGATATGAATAAACATAACAGTTTAAATAATGCACCAATAAGGCCTTTTCGCGAACCACCATGAAAATTTCGGGGGGGGGGCTGAAGCCCCCCGAGCCCCCCCCCCTGGCTACATGCCTGACCCTAGGTGAACGAATAACGTTAGCGTAGCTGAACTCCATAGAAAGCCCAATCCAATGGTGTTTGAACCAACATATTAAAATGCACTCAGCAGTACATTATTAGTGGCATCCTTTAGACTGCATGGCTATTAAGCATTGAAATTTGCTTCTTGTTTTTGAATCAATGTGTTTTGTGTTTGCAGAGTCCCATCAGTAAAATGGGGGTTCTAGCCCATAAAATTTGATAAGATGGAATCATGAAAATGTTTTTACATTCCATGGCAGTGCCCTTCCTCGCCACATTTAATTTATTGAAGGTCTTACATTATGGTGTTTCACCAGCATCTATCCATATATAAGCTATCACACTACTTTAATGCATTTTGTTGCAACAATGGAATAATGGTTCAGTCCAGGCTTAGTAATGCTTAGAGAAATCCAACTGAATTCAGCCTCATAACACTGCCATAGTTTATATCATGGATGTAAGTCATATGGTCCAGGAGTCATCTATAATCCTTGAAAGAGGGGTCCGGAATAATATTTGGAACTTCTATTAATTCCCCAAAGGCCATGGCATCCCCTTCACAATTTGTGACGCCACAGATATTTTTGTCACCAAAACACATTGTAAAGGTTATGTGATAGCACACCTTTAGGGATGTTATTCATTCTAAAACAGTCCAACCACCATGCCCAGAACATACCCCTAGATAGCCAAGGATGCAACAAGGTGTCCTATAAAGTTCTGGAGGAACCAAAAGTCTGGTAGTGGGCTCCAGGGGATGCTGTTCCACAATCCAAATAATCTTGCACTTGGTTGTTGTAGGTTTGTCAGGCTGTATAGCCATGTTCCAGAAGTATTATCTCCTGACGTTTTGCCTGCATCTATGGCAAGCCTCAGAGGTTGTAAGGTCTGTTGGAAACTAGGAAAATTGGGTTTATGTATCTGTGGAAGGTTCAGGGTGAGAAAGAACTCTTGTCTGTTGGAGCTAGGTGTGAATGTTTCAGTTGGCCACCTTGATTAGCATTTGATGGCCTGACAGTTTTTAGGTGTGCCTTGTTACTGCCTGGGGAAATTCTTTGTTGAGAAGTGATTAGATGTTCCTGATTGTTTCTTGTCTGGAGTCCCCCTGTTTTTGAACGTTGTTCCTTATTTACTATTATAATTTTAGAGTTTTTTAATACTGGTAGTCAGATTTTGTTCATATTCATGGTTTCTTCCTTTCTGTTGAAATTGTCCACAAGAAACCATGAAAATGAACAAAATCTGGCTACCAGTATTAAAAACTCTAAAAATTATAGGTGAAACATCAGGAAATAATGCTTCTGGAATATACAGCCCGAAAAACCTACAACAACCCAGTGATTCCGACCATGAAAGCCTTCAACAATACAATCTAGCACTTGATCCTATCTTCCTTTGTTATGGTACACCACAAGATCAAGCCACATAATATCTCATTCTCCCATTCATCTGAGATTCTGATATGTCTATGATAAAAACTATTTCTGGATTACTGAAATGAATCCAATGTATAACAAATGATAGAGTAGAGCCAATAAATTAGTTGCATATCACATTCCACTGTACTGAAATCACTGAGATATACGTGCAGCTACATTTCTTCTAAGGAGCCTAGGTTTGCAACTGCAGGATTAGTCAAAAGAAAAATGGAGCCTTTTTCGTGTTGTATTGCTGTTAATCCTATTACCTTAATAAGTGTTCTGTGTTTCTTGTGGTCAATGCAGTGCTCAACCTCGTTTTACAGTAGAACTGAAGGCATGTCCTCACATTACCTTAGTATTATGGAAGTACTGCCACCTGGGAGCAGGCAGCACTGCTTTTGAAACAATCATGTCTTCCAACTTTTTCACATGCCTTCCCCTGTGCCAGCACTATCTGAGCAAGGTAAAAAGAGACCAAATATAGGGAATGTATACACTGCTCAATAATACAAGATACCTAAATTTCATACTCATCATTTATGTCTAAGCTTCAACCTGGTCCTCTACAACTTGGTGCCATCCAGATGTTATATTACAATTTTCACTATATCCCACTAGCTTGACCATTAGGGATAATAATAGGAATTGCAATACAGAACATATGGATAGTTAAGGGATGTTGAATTAAAGTTCCTATCCAATAGAATAGCAAAATATGTGTTGACTCTCTCAGTTCCATTCACTCAGTTTTTATGACCTACAAATGAATTTAATGGTCCCACAGTGGGATGTGATGGTCTTCAAGGTACTATGGCCCAGCTACTGCCGCTTGGTTACTCTTGTCCCAGTATTTAACATTCCTCTAGTTAAATTTTAATACAACAGGAGAATTATACACAGGTGACTCTTTCAAAGCCTGCAGAAATTATTCATTCTGAAGTCTCATGTGTTCACAGTAAAAATATCTCACAGTGATCCAACAGCAAAATAAAGACTTGAAAATGAATCACATAAGGCTAGTGTGAACAACAGAGGATACATTTCAGCTATATTAGGGAACAGAGAGCATACAGGAGCTTTTTTCAAAAAGGTGTCATCATTCTCTCATTTTATTTGAATTTAGAAAGGTTAGACTTTTGGAAGATTGGGTGAAGAACTCTGCCTTTCCATATGTTTTCCTTTCTTACATCAACTACACCCAGTATCACCTGTAGGAATCTCTCATGCATAGGGTCACTATAATTTGAAGTTGTCTTGAAGGCATTTGACAATGACAACAACAACAACAGAGTGATAGGCCAAAACATCCAGTGTAAGTCATATTAACGATCATTGGGTCCCACCAAAATGTTTTACTTGAGACATCAACTGATACAGACTTTGACACACACACTGATGCAAATTTTGTTCTACTCAGATTATTTGCAAGCCTAGAACACAATTGGTGCTCACCATGATTCCATTTTAACTTCTATGGTTGTGGACTACATAATCACAGTTTTATAGTCTTGTGAAATGCTAGAACTTTCTGGACAAGAATTGTGAACAAACTGCAAATCCCAGGATTCCAAAAGACATTGCCATGGCAGTTAAGGTGGAATCATAGTGCTACACTTGACTGCTGTTGAAATAACCCAGAATCTAAAGCTTTTGTACTGGATTACATGTATATTCATATACATTTATTGCTGTCACTTTTAACTTCTCACCAGGTATAAAATACTGTATTGTTAACACTTCTATTGTTAACAATAATCTCCTGCCATCAAAACGGAGATGCTTGTGCGTATTATAAGCAGAAAATGTCCAGATTTTTATAGAGTAATGTTGCTTATAAAGAACTGCAGCATTAGCTCTTTGAATAGATGCTATTTAATGCATTTTATTTTAAAATCACAAATCACAAATGAATCTCAAGATGCAGAATGATAGGGTGGTTAATTTTTTTTAAATTGCCATTGCTGCTGTTCGGCTATAACTAGAACAGTAATTTTAAAACGGTGACAAAAGCAATTGAAATTGGTTACCTGGCAAATATAGGTTCCTATACTATGTTGTCAAGGCCCCAGTGGTGCAGCGGGTTAAACCGCTGAGCTACTGAAGTGGCTGACCAAAAGGTCAACGGTTTGAATCCAGGGAGCTGGGTGAGCTTCCACTGTTAGCTCCAGCTTCTGCCAGCCTAGCAGTTCGAAAACATGCAAATGTGAGTAAATCAATAGGTACTGCCTTGGTAGGAAGATAACAGCACTCCATGCAGTCGTGCCGGTCACATGACCTTGGAGGTATCTATGGACAATGCCAGTTCTTTAACTTAGAA